TAGATGGAAAAAGGCGTTCAAAAAAAAAACCCTAAACCCCTAAACCCTAAACCCTAAACCCCTAAACCCTAAACCCTAAACCCCTAAACCCTAAACCCCTAAACCCTAAACCCTGGGAACCTAGGTGCAGTCCCCCAGTGGAAAGCCCATACTGGCTGCAGAGCCACCAGAGGCACCGGCTCACGGCTCCTCCAGGGCCTCGGGGAAACCAGGCACCATCCGCTTGAAGAGGCCAGAATTTAGGGTTTCTTGGGGGCCCCTTATACTATAATCATAGTAAGAATAGGGTTTTTTGGGGCCCCTTACACTATAATCATAGTAAGAATAGGTTTTGTTTTTTGGCCCCTTATACTATAGTCATAGTAAGGAACCTCCAAACTAGTGTAGACAATTATTTAGGCTTCTATATTCACCCTCTAAACCCTAGAGGCCAGAAAAGACTGCGAGCATGCCGAGCCATTCTGAAGATGACAAAGGTGACAAGCGGGGACTTCTTCGCGAGCTTCTCAAAGACGTCGAGCCTGTCTTAGCGAAGGCCCCAGTCGATGAGTTTCCCTCGAACAGTCCCGCGGTCAAACCGGGGGCTCGGGTCGCAGATGAGCAGGCCTCAAAGATTCCTGCAGTCAAGCGGGTCGCAGATGAACCCGCGACAAGGAAACCGGCGGCTCCGGTCGCAGGTATGCCTGCCTCAGAGAAGCCTGCAGTTCAAGTCGCGGATGAGTCCGCATCAAAGACTCTTGCAGTGAAGCGCGAGGTTAGGGTCGCGGGTGAACCCGCCCCACAGAATCCTGCCGTGAAGCGGGGCATGCCGGTCGCAGAGGAGCCTGCCTCGAAGAATCCCGCAGCCAAACGCGAGGTTCGGATCGCGAATGAGCCCGCTTCAACGACTCCAGCGGTGAAGCGGGAGGTTCGTGCCGCAGATGAGCCCAACCCGCAGAATCCTGCCGTCACACGGGACACTTCTGTCGCAGATGAACCTGCCTCGAAGAATCCTGCAGTCAAACGGGAAGTTCAGGTTGTGGATGAGTCCCCCTTAAAGACTCCAGCGGTGAAGCGTAAGGTTCGGGTCGCAGATGAACCCGACCCGCAGAATCCTGCCGTCAAGTGGGACATTCCGGTCGCAGATGAGCCTACCTCAAAGAATCCTGCGGTCAAGCTGGGCGTCGCCTCAGAGAACGACATGAGTCCAGACACTGGGAGGGTGATTCCCGAAGAAGCCGCGGTTTCTCCGCAGTCCAGAACCAGTGGAAGCAGCAGAACAAGCAGGACGAGCAGCTCCGATTCCTCTACCAGCAGCAGATCGGGGGAAGCCGATGGAACTGCCACTTCTTCAAAGTCGAGCCAAAGCAGCAACTTGCAAGCCAAGGCAGCGGAGATGCAGGTGTTGCTGCCCCCAGCGGCACCATCGCCGGTCGCGACGGGCTCGAGCTTTCGCAATCCTGAGCCCGACTCGGTAGAGCAAGAAGGTGCAGCGGAGTCGCATGGTGGAGACGAAAACGAGGTTAGGATTCATTCGAGCGACCTTCCTACAAGTAAAGTGGCCGGACCAAAACAGGTGCAAGACGAAACCGAGCCTCAGAAGTCGGAAGAGACGGGATTGAGTGGGGCTGCCGAGCACAAAGTGGAGACGACAAGTATGCCCAGCAGCCCGGAAACCACGGCGAAGTCCAGGAGTCTGCACCCGGAAACTACGGCGAAGGCCATGAGTCCGCACGCCGCACATCCAGACGTTCTCGAGCCGTCTGTACCAAGCTTTGGTGAACGACTTTCTCCCGACCTCCAGCCAGCAAGCGTGGTTATCAGCAGCGAGCCCTCCCGGACAAAAGATGGGGATGAGCAAGCTTCGCCGGCTTCACCAGAGAGTGCTGGAATACAGCCACAGCTCTTGACGCTGTCTGCGGAGGGCCTCAGCAAGACCACGAGTCCGCCAATCCTACCTGTTGTGGTCGATGGGATGAACACCCCGAAAGCTCCCGCTCGCAAGACCGGCATGCTGGATTGGGAAGCAGCCGAGCCGCTGCACCCGCACTACGAGACCGCACAAGCCGTCAAGCTCCCTCCGCGCAGCGAGTGGTGGGTCCATGAGAAACTGGGCTCTTGTTTTCAAGGAACTGAGTTCAAGTTGCCATAATCGGGTTATATAGTCAGTTTGCATTAATTAAGTTACCATAATCGGGTTATATAGTTAGTTTGATTTCAGCTGCCATAATGGTCTATATAATGTTATATAGTTAGTGTAAACTCCTTTATAACAGTAACCCAGGAAAGAGGCCTCCGAGCGCCGGGTGGAGACTCTGGAGGCGCGGCTCCGTTCCGCGCTGGCCGCCCAGGATCCGGTGGTTGAGTGGAACCTTCACCGCTTGGAGGATACAGTTACACTGGATTCGCCATGCGATGAGAGAAGCCGCGCATCGCCCACAGGCATCCCTATCCCGCACATGGAGCAGGCCTTTCATGAAGAAGAGGGCCTCGAAGCAGCTGCCACGGCTCTGCTGCGGTCGGCAGCAGACGAGGAGTGGTCCCGCCCGCGCGACGCTGGGACTTCTGGCCACATGTATCCGACGACGGATGACGACTGGGCTCCTCCCCTCTTCTCGCCCTCCAGTCGCAGGAACGAATCAAGAGCCGCACAGAGCTCGCTTTTGGATCCCGCCACGGAAGCACCCAGTGCGGGGCCCATTCCTAGCTGGATATACCAAGGTGTAGGCGCTGTGCCGTTACCGCCCCGACCTGTTTCAGTGGCGGCCGGGTCGACTGGGTCAACTGGAGGTGCTAGGAAGCCTCTGGAAGCTCTGGACGATCAGCTGCAACACCTTCTGCTACTCCAGGAGCAGCAGCTCCAGCGGCAGATGCAGCTGCAAGAGCACCAGTGCCGACTACAGGAGATGCAACTACAGCAGCAGGAGCAGCAGCTGGAAGCTCAACAGCGTGAACGGGAACGGCAAGAGAGGCTCGATGCACTGCGAGAACAGCAGCGGCAGTTCGATATGCGAAGAAAGATGCGTCCTCCTGAAGCGCCGTCCGTGGCTGCGCAGCTGCCCCACCACCTGCAGCATCAGCAACAGCAGCAGGAGATGCTGAACCACATTCTTCTGCTGCATCAATCGTCACAATTGCAGCAGCTGCGGCAAGTCCAAACGGAGCAAGATCGCCACCTCCGTGAACTTCAACAGCTCCAGTCTCCTGGAGCTGCAAGGGCTCCGCCTCGAAAAGAAGCTCCCAGCCGGAGACAGGCACGGACAGAGTGGACAGAATCTCGCCAGCGTGAGGTGACGGAGCAGAGCGGTTCACATGCTATTCATACCAGACCTGCAAGCCCATCAGTAGAGGATCCGGCACCAGCAGTTGAATCCTGGCGCCGTCATGAGGAACAGCCACCACCGGAGTATGAGGCTTCCAGTGTGTCTGTGTCGGAGGCACCGGAGTCGTTTGCCTCAAGGGTGCCCAGCAGCCGTGGGAGCCTGCGTCTGCAGAAGGACCGGGAGGTGCTCCAGAGGCGACTCTCCGAGCTTGGCGATTCCTAAGTCCCACGCGAGCTCTGCTCTCCGACTCTGCCGTCCGCGTGACACGGCCGGACATGAAGGGCGGCGGTGGCGGTCCTGGACAGACGAGTGCAAAGGTGGGACTTTGCCGGACTGTGTTCCCGTGAGTTGCCAGGTCATATGTCATATGTCTTGGTTCCTTGACTCTGACGGTAATGATGGAGGGAGCATGATCTCCAAATACCTCCAAGGCCCTCTTCGACTCCTGACGCCTCCCGAAGAAAACGTCGCATCTCCCAAGAGATGCGGAAGCCTCCGAGGTTCAATGCAACTGAGGAGCGTGTCAGGCGGCACCGCCTCCATGCCTCAGCTGACCGGAATCGTGCGAGTGTGAGTGATGAAGCCCTAAACTAAACTCCGCAACTGCTGGAAGTTATGTTCGGCAATCTTTGAGGGACGGAACCCAGGACAGCCTAAAACGTGCGAGCCCCTAAACAACAACATAAAAGGCTACTTCAAAGTTGGAGGGACCGTTGGTGTGCTGTGTGCTTATGACGGTTTATGGTGCCAGGTTGGTTATGCAATACATCCTTCGCAGCTGATCCCTCACCCACTGCCTCAGCCTTCAAAGCATTCCAAGTACATGGAGAGTGCAGGAGGAAAAGAAGTCCCCCCAAAAATAAACAAATGGCTGTTCCCCATCTAGGACTTAGGAAGCCCAAAACAGAACCGTGATCAATCCCCATTAAGCTCAAACAGCACTTGGACCATTGGTGAACTCTCAATGCAAAAACCCCCCCAACATTAAAGTAACACAAGGACCCTTAAACCACTAAATCCTGGACACCCGCAAACACTCAACCCGAAACCGCGGCAGAAACAGCCGTCAAAGCCTAAGCCCAGATCTCTCAGGCACTTCTTCCCTCCACTGCACGGATGTTGCATTCCGACCTGGCCGGTTTGCCGTGCATGTCCCAGGAAATGAGGCGAGGGTACAGAACAGCGTACGTCTTTCAAGAAGGATCGCAAGTGTTGTAAATCGGTAACATCAAGATGAGTACGGGTATATGGATACCTAGTACTAGCAGCTTCTCGGGCAGTGATGATGAAGCTGATCAGTGTTCTCCCGCCCTCACAATAACAAGCATGGTTACTGGTATCTTGAAAATAACGTTAGTATTATCATGATTATGATTATGATTATTTGTTATTAATGATTCTTATTATAATTATTACCATTATCACTCCTCGCAAAAAAACTGCAAAAGCAGCAGCAGCTGCTCCTTTCTGCATGCTACAGGGGCGCTGAGTTGTTGGCAGTAGCATTCCCTTATTAAGCTTATTGTAGCCCCTGTAATATGATGAGGGCACAGTATACCCCAAGCGCTTATTAAGATTATTCAGGCCCTTATGTAAACCGCTGTAGCAAGGAACCTTGCAAGTCTAGGGTTGAGGGTTTAAAGTTTAGGAAACCCCAAACCCGAAGCCCCTGAGCTCGGACATGGTACGCCATGCCAGCCTTGTGCGAGTGTGTGAGTCGAAACCCTAAACCTTAAACCCTAAAGCCCTAAACCCTAAAACCCTTAAGCCCTAAACCCTAAACCCCTCAACCGCCGAAACTCCACCCGAGCAGTCGGCCGAGGGCTAGCCTGGACGTCGGCGTTTGGCTCCATGCAGTGCCGAGGTGCTTTAGGGGGTCTCCCTAAGGGTCCCTTTTTGGAGT